ATTGTGAAGTGGAAGCAAAATTTTACATGAATCAAAACATTTTTTACAAATAAAAAACTGAAAAGTGCGACGTTATATACGTTTATGTTTGTGGTTGTAATGTGACAAAATATGGGAAAGTTCAAGGGGTATGAATACTTTTGCAAACCACTGTAAATCTTAAATAAAAGTTCCCGTGCGCAACTCCATTCATCTGCTTCCTCCTCAGACGACCCTGACCCACAGACCCCTCCCTGACAGACCCCTACCCGATAAGAACAGCAGGACAGCAAAAGCTTTGGATACACGCGCAGGGCGCATCCACCTCGCCAGTGTGAATGTTATAAAACCACGTTTAAAGTCCGTGTTTGTCACGTGGGGGGGTGGGGTGCGCACGTGTGTGTGTGTGTGTGTGTGTGTGTGTGTGTGTGTGTGTAGCAGTAGTAGCTGAGTGTTCTTAACAACACATACTCCTAGCGCTAATAAGTCTGACAAGATCTCGCAATATCACACAAGATGGCACATATTATCATTTACCAGGTTTGACCAAAATATAACACTTTCTTTATTAACAGAAAATGAAATTTGTTTAAAGCTCTGCCATGAAAAGGCTTCGGCAGGTTATGGATTTTTTCTCACAGCTACAGTCACTTCCAAAAATATTAGAAGAGCAAGTCAAATTCCCTTGTTTTTGTTGTTCAAGACATTTGGGTTTAAGCTCAAAAAGATGAGCATGAGACAAAAGTTCAGAATGTCAGCTTTTATTTCCTGGTATTTACATGTAGTGTAATGTGACAAAATGTGGAAAAGTTCCAGAGATATGAATACTTTTTGGAAGCATGATATGTAGAACTTGTTTTTAATTCATATATATACACGTTTGTTCACAAAGGGACCCTGGAGGGGGTATTGAAATGACGGACTTAAATCGACAAGAGACTCCACCAGTGGACTGCAGTTCCAGAAACTCCTACATTGGGACAGATTCTAACCAGGTAAAGATGGGGAAGGTCTGCTGTAACACATCAACAATGTACTGAATACACGAGTAAACCTTTCTAAACGTAGCATTTTTTACAATTGTTTTTCGACTGCATATTAAAAATGAAATAACTGAAAAAATCTGACTCATGCATCAAAAATATGATTTAAAATTTTATAAGTTTGTCATTAGGGCCGGGACTTTAATGCAATAATTATGATTAATTCATTACAGAGACAAAAATGCGTTCAAAACATGTATGCAATTAACTGCACCTTCTAAGTTCCCTACTTTCTGGCACGAGTAACACTGCTGTAGCTTTGTGAGTGGAGGAAATGCATCTAAAGTTTGTTTACAAGTCGAACAGAGAACAAAACGAACGTTGCGTGAAAGTGTGTAAAAATACATACAAACTACCCACGTGCCATGAGACTGTGAACTTGAGGGGCATTTGAACATGTTTTCTTATGAGTTTGAAAATTTCTGGTTTCAAGGCAAACAGTGAAACTGAACCAAATTTAACTTCATACAACAAATAATAATATGAGTAAAATTAGTGATAATAAAACAACAAAAATACGACATTATGCCTCGTACTTACCACAAATAATATTTAAACATCTCTGACTTGCCAAATTTTTAAACCTATTTTATTTTCACTTTCATAGTTTTATCTTCAATTGCTTGTAGTTTTTACTGTTTTGGATATTGTCCTGATGCATCTCAGTAATCCAGGTAAAAAAATCAAAAAAGAAAAAAATTGTATAGGTCTTCTGGACGGGTTCTTCTCTAATGAAATGTTTCGTCTCTCCTCCAAGAGACTTCTTCAGTCTGAGAGTTTCAGGCAAAATTCAGGCTTTTAAGCACTGCCTCCTTGTGACTGATACTCACATAACATGGTGGCTATCGTTGACACCTAATTAACACCAATTGTAAACAGGGGGTGGAGTGATACTGGCAATAGCAGCACTGTAGGAGGGGGACAACTGAAATGATAGCCATGTGATGTGAGTATCAGTCACATGGAGGCAGTGCTTAAAAGCCTGAATTTTGCCTGAAACTCTCAGACTGAAGAAGTCTCTTGGAGGAGAGACGAAACATTTCATTAGAGAAGAACCCGTCCAGAAGACCTATACAATTAGTTTTCTGTTTGATTTTTTACCTGGATTACTGAGATGCC